AGTCTCCAAATCCTATGAAGTATTAGTTCCCCTCTATTTGGAACTGGTTTGGTCTCATCTTGAGTACTGTGTCCAGTTCTGGTCACTGCACTTTAAGAAGAATGTCACCAAATTGGAACAAGTTCATAGGAAGGCAACAAGGATGAGCAGGGGCTGGAAACCAAGCCTTGTGAGGAAAGACTGAAAGAACTGTGTATGTTTAGCCTTCAGAAAAGAGCACTGTGAGGAGATACCGTATGATAGCACTTTTCAAATACTTAAAAGATACAGAGGAAGGGTAGAATCTCTTCTTGATCATTCCAGCATGCAGAACATGTAATAATGGACTCAAGTTACAGGAAGCTAGATTTCAGTTGAATACCAGGAAAAACTTTCGAACTGCTACAGCAGCGCAACCATGGAACCAATTACCTTGGGAGGTAGTGAGTGTACCAACTTTGGTGGCATTCAAGAAAAAACTAGACAACCATCCATCATATATACTTTGATTTGGATTTATGTATTGAGCAGGGGTTTGGAGCTGATTGGCCTTTCAATGGAGCCCTTTCAACTCCATTGATTGATTGATTGATTGATTGATTGATTGATTGACTGACTGACTGATTGATTGATTGATTGATTGATTGATTGATTGATTGATTGACTGAATTTGTACACTGCCTGTTTAGTCAACTGACTACTCTGGGCGGCTAAAGACGTATAAAATAAATAATTTAAAATATAAGAACAATGCCTCTAAAGACAAAAACTCAAGATGGAGGAACAAAATAAATTATCCTAGATTCTATGATTCCGAGAGAAATACAGACATATTACAGTGTGAGTGGACCACAAGATATTTTGCACTTCTACTGATTTATTAATTGGATCAATATATGGCAGTCATATTGCTTTATGATTATTTCAGAGGGGCGGACCTCATGAATCAGCAAAAGATATTCAATCCTATTCAAAAGTTTAAGTGTGCACAGACACATCTTGGCACATACATGCCTTCGAAAAGCCCTGTATTGCTTGCACTGGGATTGGTTGATATGACTCTAACATTCAAGAAGAATTAAAATTACAGAACATCTGCAATGAAATTGGTTTTCTGCGGAAAATAGATGAATCACTTACTGCCAATGACTGGAAGGAAAAATACTCATTTATGACCTTATGTAATGAATTTATATGAGGTGAAAACATCACACGCACACACGCACACATAGAACACTATCTGCTACCAAACACCCAAACAGACATGTTACTGTTATAATGACATTAACATTTTCCATCCACCCTTGTTATGATTATATCGGGTGGTACAAAAAGGAGCATAAGCCACATTCCAGCTCAAAGAGAAAAGCAGTTAGGCATGCATATTTTTTAAGTTTCAAAATGTTTTTTTCCCTGCTGGAAAAAAAGGTGAGCTGGACAGGAGGGGGACTAAAGCATTCCAAAAGAATGAAGTATCATTTCTCAGCAATTTCTCAAAATCAAAAGCCAACAGTTTAAACGGTTGAAAAGCTCTCTGCAATCATATGTATGAAACAAATTCTGCATGAATCTTCTTTCTTTCTTTCTTTCTTTCTTTCTTCAACTTCTGTAATACCCCATTAGTATTATCACTTTACTGGCTTTCACAACATATAGGAAAACTGGTTTTCAGGTAGATGGCCTTAAGCCTGAAGGTCCTTAACACTTATGGACCCATGCTCCTATTTGGAAGATGTATCCATCACCTCCTCAGTGCCATATGCCAAATTCACAGTGATTTTCAACTGAAAGAGCTGATATTCAGATACCCCCCTTTTTTGAACATAACAAAATAACCCTTGCAATGTCAGCCGTAACAGAGCTGTAGCTGTTAACAGTTGAAACAACTTCATTCTCTCTAAAGATGGCACAACTTTAAAGAGGAGCAGAAATTAACTCATGTTCTTGCTTGTGGCTAAGGTGGGGAGACAGTAGCACTGTGCCAAGCTGACGGTTGAACTAATGATTACAACAGCTTAATTACTCTCAGTATGCTTAATATCAACCCCCTACGGATTCCTGTCAAGAGTGCAAACTGTAATTCTAAACCTCATTTGCCAATTGCTTGGGGAAAATTAATTCACTTGGGTTGTGAGGTGTATGTACATAATGCAGACTTTCTAACTTTCTCACTTTTGAACTTTTCATTTTCCACATTGGATTTTTGTTTATGCACTTTCTTTCTGGAAGAAAATAAGACTACTGAAATCAAAGTCCTTCTGATGTACTGAACGACATATCCCACCATCCTAGCAAAGGATGGTCAATGGTCATGCTAGCTGGGGATGGTGGCAGTAATATTGCAATGCCTCTTGTGTGCGTAAAGGCAAAGGCCACCTATATGATGATGTGGGTGTCGTATCCACCCATGCATTGAGTGCACACTACAGCTCAGTTATCTGCATTGATGCATGGATGCCTTTGTGATGGTGTCTTAAAAGTTCTCTCCATGACACCATGCTACAATTCAGCCTGTGTGTTACGTATTTCAACATAAGGCAGCATTGCCCCACAGCTCCCTGGTGTTTGCTGTACATCTATCAGCATTGTGACACCAGAGAATTATGTCATGGCAGACAGATTTGAGGAGACTCCAAAATATTTGTGAATCAGCATGATATAGACATATGGCTAACCCAATTACAATGTACTCAAGTCTCTGCAGCATTATCTGGCAAGTAAAAGCATAATGGGGGCTACCACATAATGGCCAAAATCCTGTTGCATAGCACAGTAAATTGTTCTAGGACTTTTTATGCTGAAGTAAATCAGTTAGAAGAGGCTCCTTTGAATCAATGCAACTGATGGAAAGCCGACTCACCAAAAACAAAGCAAAACAAACACACACAAAAACCACCCACCAGGTAAAACAGTGTTTTGGCTTTAATTTGGCTGAAATTGGCTGTTCCTAGTGGTTTAATTCAATTTTCATCCCATCTCCGATGGAGGCTGGCCATGCTTCTGTTACCCTGCTGATTTTCTCCTGCTAAACAGAAACTCTTCCAGTTTCAAATGAAGACAGAAAGGGGGAGAGGAAGGGGGGAAATCAGATTGCTAGCCATCTTTTGTTTAGAGAGATGGATCATAAATTATAAACCAGTGTCTCTTGCAGACTGCAAACCACAGCTATCTCCATCTAAGAAGCTGTGCCTGACCCCCAACAGCAGCCATGAAACTTTTGGTACTTTGATAAACATATTATTTTGGAATTGCTCATGAGAACTTGGTGCAGAGCCTAAGAAAAGTAAATTATCATTGAAAGCTCACTCTATTTTTTTGTTTTATTTTCTTAAAGTTCCAATCAAGGTATCACCTATTCCTGCATTTGTATTGTTTTGAGGATCATACGGCTTTGTCCTGATTTTTTTCTTTCTTCAAAATCCCATTATTCTTATGGTCCTCATAGGAATAATGGAGTTTTTGTGAGTTAGCTTCTCCATAAATTGCATTGATTCAAAGGAGCCTATGCTGTGACTTACTTTAGCATAAACAGCTGTAGTTAGAATAAGCCCATTTGAATCAATGCAACATACTCACCAAATCCCCATTGTTTCAATGGGCCTACTCTAGTATGGTTTCCTATGCAAAACAACTGGATTTTGGCCATTTTGTGACAAGTTTATTCTTACAATATTTTGTTGTTGTACCCATTATATTCTACATTGATGGGTACACATCCTGGGTGGTCTCATCGTAAGGTATAAAGCATTCACAAGTGATTTACTGTTGCCTATGTCTGTGCAGTACTTAGGTAAGTTAGCTTATGTGTCCCTATCAGTATCTACCAACCAAAGTTGGACATTTGCCATTACCCAAGGACTGCACCAAGTTGAGAATGACATCTTTCCCCCCCATCCACTGTATAATACTCCTAATATGGCTGGAACTGACTGCAACTTACCTTAGTGTGTAATCAAAATGTTATCTCAAACTTGTCTGACATGGGATCTGCTTCTATGAGGCACTGCTCCACACAAGCATAAGCCATGTGCTTCAATAGAAGGGTGTATGTGCTAAATGACCGGTAGCTGTTTTGTCTACCAAGATTAGGAAGCATGAGGAAATCTACATCACCTGGTATGAAACCTGCTACTCCCGAGTCTACAACGGTAAGCCCTATTTGAAATTTGCTTTAAGCAAGAAAGCCTGGCCCATACATTTGGCTGTGATTTGAGGAACTATACTGTTTTTCCACATTGCCTCCAGCTCTGTAAGATTCAGCCAGATGAAGAGTTCTGCAGAACTCAAAAGCTACCACCTGTTTGTGAGATTTTAGTGGTCTAATACAGTGGCCCCCAACTTTTTCCAAACCGTGGACTGGTTGAGGGGGCAGGGTTGTGTGCACGGGGGCCTGTCCCACTCATGGGTGGGCCTGGCAAACTCACGCACATGCATGTGGGGGCGTAGCATGCTCGTGTGGGGTGCAGTGTGCTCATAAGGTCGGCATGGCGCGTTTGCACACATGGCCTGGTGCCCTCACAGGGGCACTTGTGGGAGGGGGAGATTATCTGTGTCTGCGGGCCGGTCCTGCCTAGGCCACAGACCGATGCCAGGTTGTGGACCAGGGGTTGGGGACCCCTGGTCTAATAGACGTATCACACCCTTTTGTTTTCCTATTGTCAATGAAAAACTATCAGTATCACCTTCCACTACTGCTGCCATCCAGTAGCTGGCCTTCAATAATTTCTCTACCACATCAACACTGAAATGACCAATTCTCTGATGATGATGCAACCATTACTTCCAGGAGAGCATCATGTTGTTGTAAGTCAGAAGCAATTTGATAGCACAAAACTCCACCACCCATGTTTGGCTGTCACACTTGTGAATCAAGCTTCAGCCACTTTCAAATAGGTTTAATGCCTTTTGTTATTGCAGCATAAATGAAATAGGTTCACTTTTAATGCCTTTTGTTATTGCAGCATAAATAAAATGGGACAAAATAACCACGATTTCATTTAAAACTTATATTTTATTGCACTTTTATCCTTATTTCTTTAGAGTTGCTAAGCATTTATATAGCAAGGAAAACACAAAAAAGCACAAACTAAACGAACAGAAAGAAAAAGGTCCAATTAATTATAGCTAAAGATGAATTTAAACATTACTATAGATGGACAGATCTCACATGTTACACTTTTCAAAACCTCTGACAGTCTACTGTGCATGTACCTCCTCCATTTCTATCTTATATTTTAAAGGCTGCAGATCTTGCACTTCTATGCCACATTTAGGACATGTAAAATACATATCAACCAAATAGTTACTTTTAATACAATAATAACAAAAAACATGTGAACAGCCTATGGTATGAGGCATAGTAGGCCATTCTCCACAGAGAGAACATTCCTTATAACATATCACTGAAGTATTTTCATTCCTGGCACATCCTGCCACAGGTAAAGACCAAGAAGCAACTCTGAGTTTGAGTTTTTGTATATTAATAAGTGGTAAAAGAAAAATCAGAAATTCTGCAAATCCATGCCATAAGAGTTCCCTGTTCATGTACTCAAATCCAATATGACGAACTCCTTGTGGCTGGCAGAACACTGATCTGATTCGTAAAATACGTTCCGTGAGAGTTGCAAACTTTCCTTTCTGAAGGAAAATCAGGAAGTTCAGCAACTCTCCAAGTTTGAGGAACCCGACTACTAAGTTAATAAAATACTTAGTCTTTTGGAATGACTCCAGTGGCCGGTTACTGAATAAATCATAACACCTTTCTTCTACCCATTTTCCACCAGTGGTGCAAATCAGATACCATAACTTCTGTTGTTTGCTCAATGTCTGATATGTATCCACCTGGGATAAGTCATTACTATACTGGATGTTCAGAATAGCTTGCCCCACTGTTGCATTCTTCGAATAGATGGTGAATCTCCACAAAAAGAGCCAGAGAAATGCTTTAACTTCTGGTTCAAAGTGAGCCAAGAGTCCAGGTTTAAATCCATGAAAACAGCGAGTACACTGGGACCAGACCAGCTGCTCCAGAGCTTTGTTCAGTTCAAGCGCATCAAGCTGACTTACTCTAAGCACTGGGGTCACTTTCTTGCTGTCATCATCCCGGGATGCCATGGTCAACAAAGAGCTTTCTGTGATAAAGAATACTATTATCAACATAATTTCTACTACATTTTGAGGATTTTAAAGTAATTATTCTGTTCACCTTAATAACAACTAGGCACGTCAGAACATTTCAGAGGAAATCAAGATGAAAGAATGTCACTTACCCAGTCAGTCATAGCAAGCAGAGATTTAAACCTAAATGATTTTACCTGTGCCTACCGGTTTACATATTTACCTTTTAAAAGACTGGCACTCATAATAGTCTTTCTTTATTGGTGATAGTAACCTGACAACTGAAAGTCAATCTGTACTCTGTCAATGTGGTTATAACATGCAGAACATCCCCCCCTCAAACAATATTTTATTTTAAAATGTATCATTTGCTATTCAAATTATTTTGCAGGGGGGAAAAGGTGGTGGCTTACTCCAACTTTAAAAAATAAAATGCCACTTCAGTGTTCTACATGTTATGTGTTAGGTTTCCATGTCTACAGCTGAATTAATAATCAAATATGAAAATTAAGAAGCTGCTAAAAAGAGAGAACATTAGTAACTTTCGAGAATTTAAATGTGACTTAACTAAATCAAGCATATAAGCCAAAGTTGCTGCCCTGCAAGCAACTATTAAAGAATGTTCATTGGCTGTGGGCAGGGAAGGATGGCATAGGGAGGTAACCAGGTGGTCAACTTTCCTATCTTAGATAAAGACTTCCCACATCTATTTCATTTATTAAGAACCCCTGTTCATTCCAATGATTCTGAAGCTTTCTGGCCACTAATGGTACTCCGCACAATCTGTGAGCCCAAGCAATTCTTCCTGTTCTAAGGGACAATTTGTTAACCCTAGGAAAACTGTTTTTGAAGCAACATCTTCCTTTTTCATCAGTCTGCTCATTCAAGACACACTGCTAATTGTGTCAAGGAATTCAAGGGTTCTCTGTAACATACATTGAGAACTAGAGGATTTAAGACAGCTGGGCTGTACTGTGCCAAACAATGGATTAGTTTCTTTCAAAACGTAACAGTATTGTACTTTAGTAATTACGTGATAGATCTTGCCTGTATCAGCTGGAAAGATGTATCAGGTGCTGGGCAGCTTGTACCCTTGCAGTATTCTGGCGTAGCCTTTTAACACTTCTTTAGAAGTTACACATTTCAGGCAGTTGTGTCCCACTTTCTCTTTCTGTTCAAGTACAACTCCCTGCTGTCATTCACCTATCAGTTCCAATACAGTATGGGATATGTGTTAATATATGTGATATTAGCAGGAATTTAGCAACTCCAGTAGCTTAGTCAGATCACTGATAATTAGATTGTCAAATCAAAGCTCTATGAATTATTGTCAATAATAATATTCTCCAAAAACCACAATCAAGCAAAATATGAATTCATAATTGAAATATTATAGATTTTAAACAAAATGTTAGTGTATTTAAGGTACGAATTATAGATCACATGATCTAGGTCTTAAATTTATTTTAAATATTGTTAACCAGTGTTTTAACGTAACATCACATTGCTTTCTCTTTCAGACAATAAAGTGTAATTCATTTTTTCTATATGTTTAATAGTTCTATTACATAAACTAATATAGCATCCATTTTTATTTTAATTAAACTAGGAGTGTTTAATTTTAAGAAAACTTGCAAGAAAACAAACAGTGGGATATCACCAATAAAATAGGTATTTGTTCTGATATACTTTAGCATTGCTTACTGAGTATTGTACAAATTATGAATGAATATATTTTATTTAGAAATGCATTATTGACAGAAATCTATCAATAGTAAAGTGGCCATTGTCAAGGGCCTGTCAATATTAATGTAATTATGATTAAGAGGATAACATGGATTTTAGCTTTAATACCAAACAACATCTCCTACATTGCTGCTATCAATATAAGCATTATTGACCTGTTCTGAGGCTCAGAAGTAGATGTATTACCATTAGGCATATTTGTCAATGCATTCTGCCTACAAAAATTCTACATTTAAATTTACAGGCTTGTAAACTTTGGCAGCAGAAATGTATGTGTCTGAGCAATCTCTAGGGTGTCATTCCTTCTCCCCCATAATTCTGCTACAATAAACTAATTTATGTCAATTCGATGTCATTGCCACCTCACTCCCATTCTTTTTTAAAGCATAATTAGCAGAAAACAAATGACATTTTCCTAATGGAGGGTCATAGACACTCATACTTATGTAAGCTGGCCTTGCATATCTTCAGAATCTAAAGCTCAAGCAAAAAAGATAACAATGTCTAAACCCCTAACATAAGAAGCACAGCTACTGAAATCCATTAATTGCATTCATGGTTTATGCAACATCTTATTAGTGAAACTCTCCATAAACAACACTGCAACTCATTCAAAGTTCTTATTATCCAAGTGCCTGCCTTCCTAAGGCCATTTACATCAATGTGATTCTGTTGTAATATGCAAGCGATAATCAGTAATCACTCATTACAGTAAAAATTGTTTCCAGCTGCCAATCAATGCCACCACATATCCTGCTGGTCACACTGTCTTGCAGAAACATTTCTAGAATCTGGACACCGTAGTTAGAAAGTTTAGGAATATAACAGTCTTCTAGCAACCTTGAAGATTAACAAATCTATTTGGCATAAGCTTTCACAGATTATAGCCCACTTCTTCAGATATAGTTAGAAACACAGTGTCACTTTACAGCATGACCTATTTCTATGTCAGCTCTGCTTGCCCAGAATATGGCAGTACTAGATAGTTCTTCCAGCTGGAAAACTTGTTTTTCAAATCAAGATTAACATAAATATTAGTACAGTGGTGCCCCGCTTAACGATTACCCCGCTCCATGATGAATCTGCTCCACAACGATGTTTTTGTGATTGCTTTTGCGATCGCAAAACAATGTTTTAATAGGAAAAATAGCTTGACAATGATCGGTTCCCTGCTTCGGGAACCGATTTTTTGCTTTACGCCGATCTAAATACAGCTGATCGTCGGGTTTCAAAATGGCCACCTGCTGTGCAAAATGGCTCCCCGCTGTTTTCAAGACTGCTTTTTCACTTTACAAGCACCAGAAAATGGCCGCCCTATAGAGGATATTCGCTGGACAATCAGGTATTTCACCCATTAGAACGGATTAACCGGTTTCTAATGCATTCTAATGGGCTTTTTACTTTCGCTTGACGACGATTTCATTCTATAGTGATTTTGCTGGAACGGATTATCGTCGTCAAGCAGGCCACCACTGTACATATTTAGTGGACACAGACACTAAACCTCGGTTCAGGGCAACACATCAGATCTTCCTATCATAGGCAGTGGCAAATAAGATGCAGGGAGTGGAGTTTAGAATGCTTATTTTCCAGTAAATGAAGTCCAGTTGTACATGAGAGGAGTACAGGCATAATTTTGATATTAAACAAAGATTAATATTGTAAATAGACTATATGCACCTTGTGGAGGAAAGAATAAAACTGTATGCATTTTTTGTGGAGCCAGGTGTAAAATACTTGAATTATTACAACTCGATAACCCAAGTTAACAAGCTTGGGGAGGGGCTCAGAAAACCACTTGCATCATACGGTCCATCTCAGACCTGGCTTATAGGCTAGCCACAGTGTTATATTCCTCACCTCCTGCCTTGGTCCACTACTGGGAAACAAGGAGATGTGTTCCATTGATTTCAATGGCCTACTTTCTCTAGTGGGTACCCAGGCTGAGAAGACAGGACAACCCAGGATGTGGCACCACAGTAAAGCAGACAGGGAGAAACTGGTGGCCACAAAGGCAACCAGGCAACTCCATGCACGAACCAAAGTAAGAACAGTGGACTGTTAAGTATTGCCTTGGCGGGAAATTCAAATTTCTAACAGTAGGTGGCGACGAGGCTGCTTCTTTGTAGCTCTTTTGCCTCAGCAGTTAGAGAGTGTGCGATCGGAGAAGGCTGCCTGGTAAGGTAAGGTGCTCTTTTTTGCTTTTTAAAAACTGTTCTGGGTGTTTTTGCAGCATGGTTTTGGGCTGGAGGGGTTATGTTTCTGTGCTGTGATGGGTCTTGGGGGGTTTGTTTTTTGTTTTCCCCCATTTCTGATGGGTCTTGGGGGTTTGGTTGCTTTTTGGAGTGTTTTCCCCCCATTTCTGATGGGTCTTGCGGGTTTGTTTGTTGGTCTTTGCTTTTTCCCCATTTCTGATCTGTCTTGCATGCTTCGCTTGCTTTTTGCATTGCTCTTTCCCCATTTCCAATCTGTCTTTCATGCTTCATTTGCTTTTTCAATTGCTTTCCCCCCATTTCTGATCTGTCTTGCATGCTTCGCTTGCTTTTTGAATTGCTCTTTCCTTATTTTTGATCTGTCTTGCATGCTTCGTTTGCTTTTTGCATTGGTTTCCCCCCATTTCCATCTGTCTCGCATGCTCTGCTTGCTTTTCTCACCCCCCCCTTCGGCCAGAAGGGATTAATCACGTTTCCGATGGGTGTGATTTTTTCCCTTCGGCCAGAACGGATTAATTGCATTTCAATGGGAAATGGTGCTTCGACTTACGCCCATCTTCCAGAACAGATTAAGTTCGTAAGTCAAGGCACCACCGTATAGAAAAATCCCTGAATTATGGTATTCAACATGAAGACTCAGGAGTGCACTTTAACAAATGTTGAAGTAGCTTCAGAGATTTACCTTATTTGTAGTCTTAAAATGTATTGGATACTGTTTACATGTCTCTCAATAAGCATTCTAAGAAGTGTAGATCCTATGGCTAAAGGTTAGACCTATGACCTCTGCTGAAAAAAAATCCATACTCATCACCATACTCGGAACAAAGCAAAAAAAAAAATTGAACACAAATATTGTTCTTACTATTCATGGCAAACTGCACTTTTATGGAAGATGATGGATAAATATTCCTAGTTCCTTATGTGAATAATTTCATTGAATGTTGAAGTTTGATTAAACCTCCACATGAATTTAATCAGATACAAGAAAGTACAGAAACAGATGGAAGGAAATACATTTAATAAGCAAATGGACCTAATCCTGTAGCTCCAGTTGTCCACAATGTTCCACATAAATTGAGACTTTGATTCTGTGGAATAATGTTTTGACATTTAAATCTAAGAGAACTCATTGTATGATTGCATACAGTGCTCTTGATCATCCAATTATAATGAACTCAACTACCAAAACCACATCACCCTATATTTTATGCACTCCATAAAAACAGATTCTATAGTAATGCGTGTCAATGAAACAGTTGTTAGCCCATGCTCGCTGTCTTTCTTCACACCCATATACATGCACATGTGTGATTCTAATGATCTAACAGTATTTTGGTTCAGACATAGAGATGTGCACAAAATTACTTAACTTTTGTGACTGACACAACATAAGAAAGATGTTCTCAGTCCCCCCCCTTTTTTTAATAAGGATAACAGGGCTTATGGGAGGCTTATATTGTACACTTTTTAGCTCACTCAAATCTTTATCTTAAGGAAATAATTTAAGGGAAGTACCATGGGCTTTGAAAGGAAATTAAAATGTGCCTACTAATGTAGCATTAATTTCCTTATAGCAATTTTGCTTGGATCAAGACTGAGCACTGTGCAGTGGGCATGCTTGGAATATGTTATTTCAAACTGGTATTTCCTTTCTTGCATATGTTACCACATTTAACGGTTCTGAGATATTCCTTCTGAGAAATGAATGAAACAGGTGTGCAACATACACACATATATGAAGACCAGCTCTTTGGGTATCACTGAGTTTTCAGAATGTATGCGTGTGTTAATGGTGCATCCTAGTAATCAATATGCAGTGGAATACTAATTTTCCACACTATAACTAGATATATAAAGTTCTATTCAACACATGAATGAGGCATCCACTTTATTGTTTATCACCACTAACATCAATAAAGGCTCCTGCTAAGGTTTCTGTTTGGATGTACTGGGGGAAAACCAGTCTTACAAACATCCTTTTGCCTTCCTCAGCCAACTCTCCCAGATCCACACTGGACCATCCAGAGTCAATGGTGACTTTAATCAACCTGAGTGCTTGTTCACAAGGGGATGGCACACACCCATTTCTCCCAGCCTGTGTCTGCTCAATAGAACTGGACTGTGTAAGAAGTCCCTCAAATGGCCTCATGGCTATTGCTCAACTCACTTTTTGTATATCTACTGTGACATTCTTAAACATGATCTGAATCTGTGAGTATAGTTCTCACCTTCACTTACTGGCTTTTTGCTATAAACAAGACTTCAAAACAACAACAACAACAACAACAACAGTGATCTCTTATGGACATTCACTAAAAGAAAGAAAAATCTTTGACAACACAATCCCATGCATCTCTACTAAAAGTCCCAATGATCTGTACATATCCACTGAGGTCCCAAAGAGTTCATGAAGTATACTCCTATGTAAGTGGGTTTACGATGGTAGCCTAAACAGCTGTTAAATTCTTCTTCCTCGTGTATCCCAACTTTCTTCAGATTAGAAGCAGAAAATCAACTTCCTCATAGTTATTTTGGTGCGAGGTAAAACAGTTCTTCTCCAAAGTTTTCAAAAATCTGTGGTATCAATATTTAGAACAAATGTATCTGATTTTTTTTAGTTAGGGTTTATTTTAGTTATTTTATACCAGAATTTTTAATGCCCTGTTCTTTTATGATGTTTTCCAATTGTTTCCAATGCTTCCACTGCTCCTTTAGGATGGTGGAAAAAAAATACAGACATACTGCTAATACCTCAGTCCAAGACTTTGGAGAACTCCTCCCAACAGTTTCACGGAGATGTTCAAAAGCATGGGGGTCAAGACAGAACTGTTGAGTTTATACAAAGGGGTAGAACAGTGTTACCTTCTGAGTTTATCCTGTTCCTCAAAGCACTGGAGCCAAGAAAAAACTTCTGCCAACACGTCCCACCTCAGTATGCAGAAAAAACTAGAAGTTATGGTATCAAATAGGACCGAGAACATCAGAAAAACCAATATGGTCAAATTCACTGTGATCCACACATTCACAAGTGATCTATCAAGGTGGCCAAGACAATTTCTACTTAAAGCCAGAATGGATCAGATTCAATGTCTTCCAAGACTGCTAGAGGTAACATGATGCTTCAAAATTTGACCGGAATCCAAGTGGTAGTTCCAGCTATGTTATATCCAATGAATCAATGGACTTTACTGTGCTGACTGACCATACCACAGGTGATTCAATGGGTCTCATCTGATGGAGGCAGCAATTAGATTTAGGCATTTGCTCATGAAAGATAAATTTGAAAAAGGGTAATCACTGCTAATATAGCAGAATCTAGAATGTTCGTCTTCAGTAATGATTTCACTATAATGATATCAAAGAGCAAAGTATCTTTCACTAAGCAACTCCATGCAAATTTCTGAGATATTGCAGGACTCCTTGAAAGCAAAATTCTTTGTGAATATGAACATCAACCATTGTGACGTTTGCCCCTCGAGGCCCCTGTTTGTCTTCCAAACACAGAGCACACAAAGGCAAACCAAACAGCTTTTCACGTGCTGCCACCAGTTGATCACTAAATCAACGTACTTTACTTAGGAAAGATGAAGGTCCATCCAGTTTTCACTTTTTCTTAAAACAGACTTATTAATTACAGATGTTTCTTTAATAATTCATAAGTATTTACTTCAGGTTCATCAAGCATCAATCTTCTATTTAAATCTCACAGGTTATTATTCACCCCTTAGACTAATCACACCTCAAATCTCCCAACTCTCTCTCTCTCTCTCTCTCTCTAACTCTGACTGAACTCTTGACTGACTCCTCCTCTCAGGCTCTGCCTTTTAACCTCTCTCTCTTATTGGCCTCTCCACCTCATCAGCATAAAATATGAATAATACATGACTTATTTAGCATAATAAGGGTGAACGCTACATACCTCCCCCCTTAAATATGTTTGTTTGGGAGGGGAAACACATTTTCCATCACAAACATGCATCATTGCATGAAACTTTACTTACCATCTGGCACACTTCTGTAAGCAATACCACATTTATGATAACAATCACAATACCTTTTTACACTAAACATTCCACTACAATTCAATAATATTCTTTACCTTATCATTTACACTGAGGTATTAGCAGCATGTTTATATCACAATCAGGAAACTTTTACATAGATAATTAACCACTAAAATAATAGTCAATTCCGATTTATTTTAAAAGTCCTTGCATCCTTCACGTTTCTGTTCATCAATTCAATTTTTCAATTATTCAATTTTTCACCACTATTTACCAACAGAACATTTATTCGTCGTCGTTTAGTCGTATCTGACTCTTTGTGACCCCATGGACCACCCCTTCTCCTCTTGCCTTCACACTTTCCCAACATCAAGGTCTTTTCCAAGGAGTCTTCTCTTCTCATGAGATGGCCAAAGTACTGGAGCCTCAGCTTCAGGATCTGTCCTTCCAGTGAGCACTCAGGGTTGATTTATTTATTTATTTATTTGATTTATACCCTGCCTATCTGGTCGGTGAGGACCACTCTAGGCGGCTAGAGAATTTCCTTAAGAATTGATAGGTTTGTTCTCCTTGCAGTCCAGGGGACTCTCAAGAGCCTCCTCCAGCACCACAATTTAAAGGCATCAATTCTTCGGCGGTCAGCTTTCTTTACGGTCCAGCTCTCACTTCCATACATCACGACAGGAAAAACCATAGCTGTGACTATTCGGATTTTTGTTGGCAAGGTGATGTCTCTGCTTTTCAAGATGCTATCAAGGTTTGTCATCGCTTTCCTCCCAAGAAACAGGCTTCTTTTAATTTCGTGGCTGCTGTGTCCATCTGCAGTGATCATGGAGCCCAAGAAAGTAAAATCTGTCACTGCCTCCATATCTTCCCCTTCTATTTGCCAGGAGGTGATGGGACCAGTGGCCATGATCTTAGTTTTTTTGATGTTGAGTTTCAGACCGTTTTTCACACTCTCCTCTTTCACCCTCATTACAAGGTTCTTTAATTCCTCCTCATTTTCTGCCATCAGAGTGGTATCATCAGCATATCGGAGGTTGTTAATATTTCTTCCGGCAATCTTAATTCCGGTTTCGGATTCTTCCAGTCCAGCCTTCCGCATGATGTATTCTGCATATAAGTTAAATAAGCCGGGGGACAATATACAGCCTTGTCATACTCCTTTCCCAATTCTGAACCAATCAGTTCTTCCATATCCAGTTCTAACTGTTGCTTCCTGTCCCACATATAGGCTTCTCAGGAGATAGATAAGGTGGTCAGGCACTCCCATTTCTTTAAGGACTTGCCATAGTTTGCTGTGGTCCACACAGTCAAAGGCTTTTGCATAGTCAATGAAGCAGAAGTAGATATTTTTCTGGAACTCTCTGGCTTTCTCCATAATCCAGCTGTGGCGTTCACCCTCGTGCCCCTTGCTTGACCGTCAAGCCTCAGAGCACATGAAGGCAAACAATCCCCTCTTTTACACTGCTGCCACCAGGTGATCACTAAATCAACATAACTTCAGGAAGATTCAGGTCCACACTTCAAGGTCTTTTAAATAGAACTTTTGTTTATTGATTACAGAAACTTAAACTGATTCACGAAGTTCTTCTGTAGGTAAAGTTATTATTAATAACAACCTTCTATTAGATAATACACTCATAATTCTAATCACTCTTCAGAATTGCCCAAACTCCACACTCTATCCCCTTCTCTCACACTCCACTCTTACTGACCGACTCTGTTACTCTTACTGACTCCGCCTCTTATAGCCTCTCTTGGCTCCGCCTCTCAGCAACATGAATATGCATGAACCATTACATAACAAAACATGAACCATTGACCTAATAAATGGGGAACGCTACACATGCCCTTCAATATGTACCAGTGCTTAATTTCATGTAAAAAATGCTTTAAAAACATGTTTTGGAACTTACACTCCCAGGTCTCTAAGTGTTATTATTTATGCATATAGGCGGGTAACCTTGGGAGAAAGGTGCAAGGGAAGGTGCTTGCCTCTTTCAGCCCTGAACTCTAATTTTATTCCTTGTCAAGGACAGAGATAAACACACAACCAGATAGTAAGGAAAACGGCTTCTTTATCTAGGTCCTTCCTTCTTGTATTTTTTTAAATGTTGTTCAATCCACATAAACTTTTTTTTAGCTTCTTGATGTCTCTTGTGATCTGCATTAGTGCATTTCAAACTTTGAGGAGTTTCCACCTACTTTTTTTCTAGGCTTCCAAGTATCACTGCATGTGATGTTATGGATTAACGGATAGGCACATACCCACAAGGAAAATGTGCCATTCTACTGTACTAGTGTTGGTATACGCATAGCATAATCTCACATGCAACGATGTAGCTTTGTCCCACTCTGGCAAAGTTCATGTGGATGTTCTTCAGCATGTGTACAGGCTTCTAAACATAAAGAAGATTATTCTCCAGCAGTAATGGTGGACTGTTATTAAATTCCGTTCCCAGCATTTCTCACCAGTACTCAAACTGCCTCGGACTGATGGAAGTTGCTGTGCAAGAGCGTCAAAGGGACTGTACTTTGTTCACCCGTCTTGTATAACCCCGCTTATGGTAACTGTTGTTATATTAAACAATACAAGCTTCCTAGGCAGCAATGATGCAGATATCTCATACCGCACCTCAAAAGGCCTGCCTAAGAAGAATCTCATCTATTGCTTTACTGTTTTCTGAGCCATTTCAGTTCGTCTTGGCCTTCCAAATCTTTTCAACTTTGATTCTCAGACTATTGATGTACTACCTTGGACTCTGGAATTTGAAATGCAAAACCCCAGAAGGGGCAATGGTTGAAGATAATCGCACCAAACTGAAATCTCAACACAGTGATAGATATATAACTGTTTAAAATAACATGTTCAACAACTGTTGCTAATTCCCTCATCCGTCAAAACTATCATATGTCCCTAAGGTGTGTAGCCGTTAATGCCAGGCTTAAACTAATGAAGTCCTGATTCAGTCTCCCTTCCCTACTTCGTGGCTGACTTTGCGTCAATGTCTAACTCACAATCCTAGCCTGCTTCACAGAGGAAAAGTGATGGTGACAATGGTAAAGGATCATGCTTATCGCCATCTACATTGTGCTTAAGCGCTTTGATGAAAGGTGATAGTAGAAAGGTCGAGCCATCAACACAACAGCAGCTACACTGCAGGCAAAAGTTCAACAGGTAAGGAGGTCGTCCTTCACCCCTGGTCATGCAGAGGTTGTGGACTTCAATTCCCAGTATCCTTGACGGCTGCTATCCACGCATCTGGAGCCGTCTGAAGCAAATGTATAAAACAGGTGGAGGAGCAGGAACTGAGGACCATTGAGGAAAGGCTTTCTCTAAATTATTATTTTAAAAAGAGGAGAGAGCCCTCTTGTCACGCTCATGCTTGTTAAAAATTTTGGGAAGGGGAGGCATCCTGTCCACACCAGAAAGAAAGAAAGGGGGGGGGGTCTTGTCTGGTTCTCGGGCACAACCAGACCCGTCGTCCCGTGAAACGTGAACTGCGACTAGAGGCGCCGTCCTCTCACTCTCTCGCTGTCCCACCGGGCCCGCCCGCCCGGCCGCCCCCTCAGCCCTCTCTCTCACCTCATATACTGACCTGCCGCTCTTTTCCTGAGCGGGGGGGGGCTACTCCGGGTGGCATAACCTCCCTCTCCCCCGTCGTGCGCGGCCCAGAAAGGGGCGGGGAAAGCGGCGAGAAGAAATTGGGTGACCCGGATTTCACATCGAACACAGAGTTCTCCCTCTGAGATGCCTAGAGAGGCCGAGCTTGAGTCCCGCCGCCCATCTCAACTCTACGGCGCTGCATTATTATCACTGCTAGGGGAACCGACAAGCTTACATCTGATAAGAAACAGGAAGAACTAGTGAGAGTCCTTGCAATTTCCTAGAACGGCCGCTCGTGGCGTGTCAGCTTCTCTGTTTTTTTTCACGTTGGCCCATAGAGATAGGAAATGAAAATTACAAATGTTAGAAATACCTGGTTTAAAGTGCGTTTGTTTTCTTCCAGGGTGGAATTGAGAGCCGATCACAGAACTATTGGAGAAAACCAGGATTTTATCAAAGTTTTGATCGAGGAAAGAACACCCCAAAAGGAACAGTAAATCTCATTTGGCGCGTTATATCTAACTTGCTCATTTTCCAGTAGAGAAATGAGATTGGGGTTTTCAAGCCTTTGCAGAGGCAACGTGTCTAAGCCGCTCAGTGGACCTTTTCGTATGATTAAGTTAACGATGTTGGTATTGCTACTGGAGTGCCCATTTTAATAGACATTTGACACAAGCCCAATATTAAATATAGACTCCAATGCAAGGTCGTTGTATATTCTTCTCTAAGCCCCTGTCAGACCAGCTGTCTGGATACAATACCAGTGGGCCGCATAAAGTAGCTGTTTTTAGCCTTTAGAGCTCTTTTCAATCGCTAGTAAAATAGTGTTCTT